GAAGTGGTGGAGTCCCCATCCCTGGAGGTATTTAAAAGACGTGTAGATGAGGCACTTAAGGACATGGTTTAGTGGGCATGGTGGTGTTGGGTCGATGGTTGGACTCGATCTTAGAGGTCTTTTCCAACCTTAATGATTCTATGATTCTATGAAAATTCTTTAATACATATTGTAATGCTGTGCATTACCTAAAAAACAGGGAACAGTAGTTAAAGTAGGGATGTTTTTTTCATGGAAGCAAGAACTAAATGCACAGGTGAAGGATATATTGAACCCTAAAAGTAATGCTGTGAAAGTCATGTAAGATGTGAAGACCCTTTGAAAATATACTTGTTATGTTATATATACAGGCAAAGACCTAATCCTTTCTTCTGCTAGCGCTCCTTCTCCTTTGTATCCATAACCTGCATTTTGGTCATGAGAAGTGACAATGTTTATTTATCTTAGAAGTAAGTTCATATGTGCATGCTACACTTTCAGGCAAGTAGCAGAAACAATTATATATTTTAGTATATTGTTTAGTTTATAAAACAGGCTTTTAAAGAAAATCAAAGACTTAGTGACAGACAATACACAGAGTAGCAGCATCAAATTCAAAACACGTTACACCAAAATTACTGGGCAGTGATTTTGCCATGATGTAGACACTAGTCTTTATGCTCTGCTCTGTACCACTTTGGCCCACTCTGCCTCTCCTCAGTTCCCTGTTGATTCAGGTCAAGACACTGGAGAAGGAGGGACTCCAGCATTACCTTTTGTTGTAGCCTGTATCCTGGAATTCCGCCACCCCAAGAAGATCAGACTGGCTCGAGAACTTTTATCCAAATGATTTGATGGTACCATTATACATTTTTTTTTTTTTAGTGTTTTATGAATAAATTTATCATTATCCTAAAATTACATGTTAACAGAACTATATTTCAACTAAACTTGGGAAATACCTTGTAGAACTGTAAAAGGCCAACATTTAAAGAAGTGCTAAACTGGATTTTGACAGCAGTTGTCTGAGTAAGTGCAGAATTATTTCTCCATCCCTTCTCTCTAACTAAAAACTGACTATTTGAACAGTGGGGAGAAGTAGTTTACATACAACTGGTAAATCTTAGCGGAGATTATGAAGTTGCATGTCTCCATGACACAGACAAAACAACTGTTGGATTGGAGACAGGATCAACAGAGGGAGGGAAGAGATGCAGCTCACATAAACCAGTCCTGGTGTGTTTTTCTGACAAGTGTTTAGAAAGTAGAATTACACAGAAGCTGAAAAAGGGTGCAAGTGTAAGTGATGGATTTCAAGAGACTCAAAAAAGCCACCAGAAATATTAAGACGAGAGAGAAAAGGAAAAAGTCTGGCAGCAGAAACAGCTGGATCAACTGTGGGCCTATGGTTGAAGAAAAACAGCACAAAAGAACAATTCACACGAGGAAGAGGCAGAAAGATTCAGAGGCAAATCCACAGGAAAGGAAAGAATCCTGGACATAAGCAGTATTTGTCTGACTTCTAAATGCTCCAAACCAACAGGCAGAACTGAGGCAGAGAACCTATAGAGATGGGGGCAAAAGTAAATATACACACTTATCTTGCCCTAACTAAAGCAAGAAGCACCGTTTCTACCACCAGACTGCACGTCTGTTTGCTCTATCACCTGCCGCATCTAAGGCCAGAATGTTCCCGGTGTTCCAGGATGAAGCTTTTGTTCTGACCTTAAGGCAACTCCTGAGAAGGTGTAACAGACAGAGCCTACAACAGATCCGTAATAAAGAGATGAAGTACTACTAATGATTAAGAAAAGCCTATGATTAAGGGCCTAGGTGATGGGACACAAAAGTAGCAGCTTACTAAATGTCCAGTTGGAATAGTTCCAGCCACAGCTACACAAGCTTGTTCAAAGGCTATCAAAAGAAAATAGCTTGTTTTGCCACAACATTAAATATGTTTTCCTTAAAAGTCCTAAAAGATAGGACTACAAGCTGGAGAAAGTTCTATTCATTGGTTATAGAAGATGCTTCTTTCCTTGGATTAATAAAAAACCCAATTGATTAGAGATATTATGATCTGACAAACTTTCTCACAGATTTAAAAGTAATTTTACTTAAAGCCATTTTAAGAAGCCATTTATAGAATCATAGAACAGTTTGGGTTGGAAGGGACCTCTAAAGGTCATCTAGTCCAACGCCCCTGCTGTGGGCAGGGACATCTTCAACTAGATCAGGTTGCTCAGAGCCCCGTCCAACCTGACCTGGAATGTTTCCAGGGATGGGGCATCTGCCACCTCTCTGGGCAACCTGTGCCAGTGTCTCACCACCCTCAGCATCAAAAATTTCTTCCTTATATCTAGTCTAAATCTACCCCCCTTTAGTATTTATGCACAGAACTCCTAGTCAACATATTAAAGGTATCTCCAAACAAGCATGCACTCTATGATTCTGTTTATCTAGGTAATTATTAGAGGACCCAAAACACAACTTCCATAAACTAGAACGTTTTAAGTGAAATCCATAAGAAGTATTAGGGAATTTGTTCCAATTGTGTAGTTGTAGGTGAAACAATACTAGCTTTTCTCCTTGCCCTCCCTCATTGAAACATTCTGTCCAAACTAGCCCTTAGAACAAAATACAGGATTTTTGTGTCCTGCCTATTTCTTTCTAATACTAAAACAATGATAAGCTCTGTCTTACACCCAGTCTTCTAACACATCTATCATTTATGCTCGTAACTCACATCAAACGTAGAATCCAAAATACCAGGATCCTTCTAGGGCTCCAGGATTAGCAAAGAAATTCACATTAATTCTGTGGGTTGTTGGTTTGGTTTTTTTTGTGTTTGCTTTGTTAAACCATTGATTTCATCAATTGTTTAAAAGACATGTTTATGCTGGCATTGCCACATATTGGCTTGGCATTTCACAGGATTCTTGTCTTGCTTTGCTAGCTCAACTCTTGTCTACCTTCTGCCTCCAATGCCAAGTTAAAAAAAGTGAATTAGCACACAACCACAGAACAAACTCAAAATCTGTAGAAACAGTAACTACCTATGAATTTTGCTTGATTCAAATTTAGATGTAGATATCACCACTAATATCCACATCAATCTGTATAATCCAAATAAACGAACACTTACTTTTAAGCATCAAAAATACTGCTTTCAGATCATTCAAATCATCTTTCCTTTCTTCAGCCCAACCACAAGAACAGTAATTTGAGAAGTAGAATTAAGAACTGCTGCTAATCTACTAAGGCCACAGCCTAGTATGTTGAACAAAACTATCTCATTTTTCCTTTGTACTTCCCCATCTTCTTTCTCTTGCTGTGTATTTGCATATCACGTTTCCAGTCCCACAGATCTTTAGTGCTGGATTTGTGGTAAGCCTAGCTCAGTGTGAATCGGGCTGTTACTATTAAGATCCAACTGCAACAATACAAATACTACCTGGATTAATGTACAGGCAAGGACTGGTTATTAAAACTAAGGACTATTATAAAGGTGGATTTTAGAAAGTAAAGTTAGAGCAATATTTGATCTTCAGATTATCAATGCATTTTCCTGTAAGGAAAAAGAACTGCAACATGTATTTTATTATTCTGCTGTACCACGGAATTTCAAACATAACATTACCTTATAGGGGGAGATATGAGTGTCTGAAGGAAAGGCCAACATTCCCATCACTTGTCGAACCTCATCCAGCTGGCTTCCCTCAGCCTGACTGAAATGCTTTCTTGCATGTCTGAAATACAGAATTTATACCTTTATTAGATAGCCTTGTCTCTAAATCAAGTAAATTTACATAATTACATAAGATTTCAGAGAAAACCTCTAGATTCTGCTCTCAATACATGAACTCCAAAAGGTGATGCATTTAAAGGGCTTGAAAAAATAAATCCTGCAAATGTGAATGCAAAAATGACTTTAAGAACTAGCAATTTTACACTGTAATTTCTTAGAAACCAGAACTTCTTACTGTAGCATGAAGTCTTACCTCACCTACATCTAGAATGACAGATCCATGATTACTAGAAGAAATGTCTCTCCTTATGCAAGCTCAATGTATCACACTCCTTTGGCATACACTTGCAAGTGAGATAAATGCAATCTGATAATCAGCTATTCCAAACCATTAAACATCAAGAATGTTCAAATATCTACCTTGTTTATACTGACATTTGAGAGAATGTTTACTCTTGAATAAATTTTTTTTTTTTTTTGCAGGGGGTGGTATAGGCTAGAAGGCAATATCACTTTCTGTGCAGACTACAAGAAATTTTGCAGGGTAATGTAGTAGAAAACACCTTGTTAAGAGCAAATTTTTTTTGCCAGGGAAATAAAAAATTAAGTAGAACTGCAGTACAAGTTTTTGTACTTTAACACATACTGATTATAAGAGATACACACAAGGCTGAAAACTTAGATATTTGAAAGCAGTGACAGAATTACCCGAAACCTGTTTAAAGCAAAAATACAAACTTTAATATTTTCCAGGAAATTAATACTAAGAAAGCAGACAATTATTATCAGATTATAAGGATATTCAACTACTTTAAAACCCTGTATGAAAGCCTCCCCTACCTAGTCTTCCCAAGATCATCAATTCTCAAGTTGGAGTTTAAGTGTGCAGGAAAACCCTCCAGCCTTTAAACTGGATGATTAGTTCTGCATTTCTGCTAAAAGCTCCTGTTTTCAGTGGTGCACAGATGTTGCATAGTAGACTGAGTACGGAATCAGCACTATATTGAATTTCTGGCATTGCATAAGTGTAGAAAAGTCACCCCTATGCCATATTCTCCCCACAGTTTTTATTATGGGAAAGATACCAAGTCATCTCTGAAGTACTCCGGTAAGTGTTTGCTCTTTTTAACTTTTAAAGAGTCTTGTTAAAATCTATTTAAAGTTACAAATTACTTTTAGGAACATACAGTATTTTCCAATTGCCCATTTAATGGATTGAATTAAAAAAAAAAAAAAAAGATTTTTTTTTTTCCCCTAATTCTGTGTTCCACTAAACTACACTTAGGTCATCGATACCATGAGAACAGTCTCTTTAGCAGTGTTTCAGTACTCCTACTTCCTCTCCCACCCAAACCAGGAAGCAATGGAAGTTATGTAGGACAGACTGTTTCCACCCAACTTCCTATTTTGGGTGAGCAATTCAGGAATGTAAATATGGTTCCCCAGGTGACTACTGTTATGAGAGCAGAAGTACAAAACCTGTGGCCTGAGAGAAGAGACTACGCAGCCCGGACATACTGGAAGAAAGCTAAAATAAGTACTAGTGCACAGCTGCAGATGAAAGCAATAGCCATTTAAAAGAAAGCTTAGGCAAAGCAAAAAATTCAGACCTACCAGTCAAGCTAAATTACTGTGTGTGCATGCATGAGGGAGAAGAGAAAAAAATCCTCTTAAAAGAACTGATCACTGTGCATTTGTGTTCTGTGATGTTAAAACAGAAGTGGTACTCCAGTTTTGCACCAGCCATGTTAGTATTGTGGTCCTACTCCCCGTCAGGCCTTGACAATTTGCTCTTACAGACAGCATTTCAGCAATACATCCCCCTTGCTTATAGGAAGGCCCCGAGCTGCAGCAGGCCAACACTGGCCACATTTACTGCATGTGTTCAAGAAGAGCTAGAATTAACACTTTGTTTTGTGTATGTAAGATATATAATCACTGCGCGTGTGCTAGCCATTCAAAGGAGAAGTGCTTAGCCATCCAACAATTCCATCATTTGCAAAGTACTGAACGCACTGGGATGTGGTGGCCATTTGAGGTTCAGCCAGAAGGAACTAGGTTTTCTAAAGTGACCTTCTGTTAGTCTTCATCTCCTGACTTTCCCTTCTGCCTGTGCCCCTTAAGAAAACAAGGAAGTTTTCCCACAAAGCCTGCCATGCTAATGTCTGAACTTCATCCTCTTGAGTGCCAACACAGAGAAATTAAAATGAAGCAAGTTATTCTTTAAAAGAGAAGCAAGTTCGTTAATTCATAGCACTCAAGTCTTTTTTAGATCGGGAAGCAAGAAACAGTACTATGTGAGTACTCATGAATGCACAACATTTAAATAACACCTTATTTGCCCTCATGCCATTACTCACCCCTTCCCTTTTCATTCAGCTATTTCCATCTCTTTGTGCAAACATTATGCTCTTAGAGGTATATATGAACCTTACAATACTTATTTACAATGTTTTCACCACTATTAGCACACACTAGTCAGTATAGCTAGAGCAGGGGGCTAAATTTTTTCAAAAATTGTTTTTTTTAAATCGTGACCAGTGGACCATCACTGAAACCACTAACTAAATTCTCATGACAGATCCAAGTAATAGGTAGAAAAATTTGTTTTTCAAATCCTGGAACGATTCTGTAAACTCCGTGGGGACAAAGTCCATCATCTTTCGTTTGAAATCGCTGTTCCTCTAGCCCATGCAGATACAGCAGACATATTGTACTTGACAAATCCAAGAATGAAAGGATGTGTATGAAGATCGGAAGATTTACAGTTTACTGTCTACTAAGGGTACATTAAGTTGTTAAAAAAAGTATATAAGCTGTACAGTGTGTATGTGTATATCTACATATGCCTGAATATAAGGAATGAACATATTTATCAGGAAGTAGCAGTAACTGAACACAAACATAAGGTGTTATCAGGAAATGACTTGTTCTTTCTGCTCAGTCTTTCTGACTGATGCCTGCATGCCTTTATCTTGGAGACCATTATGACTACTAGCAAAACTTATACTCAGAGTGCTCAGAAGTTTTATTATTATTTCTATACACCTGTTCAACCCTACACCCCACCCCACAATAAAAATAAAGGAACAAGCTGTGTTTATTCACCCTTATAGGAGAGAAGTTTACTAAAATGAATAGACTGTGGCCACTTTCTAACTCTGTGCATCATCAGCTATTTTTATTTACTGCTTTTGTCCTTTATATCCCAAGAACAAGAAGTGCCCAGGGTGTTTTGTTAAGCTTTTAGCTAAGAACTCCATGTATCTCTAGCATCCCATAAGAGCAAAGTAGCAGAATGCTGTCAGATTTCCCAGAAAGATATTAGTGAGAGCCCTAAAAGTGTGAAATTAATGTCATCAGTCATTCATTGTTACTGTAATAGGTATGAGCTTTACAAAAAAAAACCTAAAGAGACTGTGGGAGTTAAAGGCTAACGACACTAGGCAAAACACTTTGTGATGTATTTAAGCTTAAGAGATTTACTCTTTGTATTCAAGAAATAGTTTTTGTACATTCTTGAAACTGGCACTTTCAAGACTACTCTGATAAACTACCTTAGAGGACAGTCCGTTTGTACTAATATTCTAAAAAGCTACAGAAATTCAAACTCTTTTTAATAAGATGTATAATTTTAAAGCTCACATTAATTTTAACCTAAAGCAATATGTCACTTCAGAGGTTCTCAGCAGGCAGTAATAAAAGCTTTCAAACTTATTTAAACACCAGCTGCATTTCAACAAAATGTCAGTTCTCCGAGTTCCACTCATACAGGAAACTACTTGGTAAACAGCCTCTTTCTCTGCTTTCTAATGGATGCCTGACCTATTTATTGCACCATGGACACAATACTGAAAGAATCCTGCTGCAGGCACTTAACAGAAGCAAGCTAATAAAAACATGAGTTCCAACGGTTTGCTAGAAGCAATGAGATTTATGCTATACCTTCCCAAAATATATTCCCTTATTCATTACATATTTATTTTGAAGCAAAGTAGAATGAGATGGTGAAAACTAACATTTTTAAGCCACATTAAGGAAAGCATTGAGATACTGAACTATGAATGTACAAAATTATCAAAACTCACCGTGTTAAAAAGGAGTGAGTTAAGATATAGGACTTCTGTAGCTCCTTTTCATTTTACAAGAAGTTATGAAGTTGAAGCAGCATTGTTATGACTGGCAAGTTATAATAGCTGAGTATAAAATATATGTCAACCCTGAATTTCAATAGGTATATGGAATATACATGCTTCACCCCTAACAACATTCAATATGGATGCCTATTTGCAATGTAGATAGGAGCTGTAAATTTTAAACCTCAGAGGCTATGATAGCACAAGTTATTCCGCGCCAAGGCTGCTAGGTCCTCTTGAGGGTTGACAACTTGCAAATTTTACCAGTTCTGATGTGGAAAAGGGATCAGAGGGAAACAAATATCCAGTAACAACAATAAAATACAGAATGACCTTAACTACTTTGTCCCAGTTCTCAGCCTATCTCCTTATTTCAGCTCTATGCCTGCCTCTGGTTTCCAAGCTACATAAGGAAGCTGCAGCTCAAAGAAAATAGTTTTTAGAGCATGGACTACTCACTCCTAAGATGCATGACTGCACATTTGGCAAAGAAGCAAACTTAGCAGAGAATAAAGCTAAAGGCACAAAGGCACAGTATTCGCTGGATATAAAGAACACCATGGACTTCAGAAGACAGATAACGTAGTTGAGTGTCTTTCAACCTTTTCATAAGTACCTGACAATTCCTTAGGATTTGAGAACTCTATCAAAGGGTAAGTGCACATATCTAAATGCTAGCATTTAGGGGTTTGGTGGTTTATTTGTTTTTTTTTTAATTATTAAAATTAGCTGGAGTTTATCAGATTGCACATTTGCATTGGCTGGGACCAAAACAACGATGATTTAGGTGCAAGGAGGGCAAAGTAGGAATGATGTGAGTTAGCTCAAAGCAAGCACCACATTTGAATGAAATTAGAAACAACTGGAAATAACCCTAAAACTTAAGGTAACTTTGGGGGTGGTGTTAGTATTAGACTAGCCTCTCCACATACTGGTACTACCTTTTCCTTTATTCTTGTTTTTGAACAACTAAGTCTTTCTCACCATTCTATTCAAGAAAAGTTCTGTGGTTTGCCCTGTAGAACAGTTTTTACATCTAAGACTTGGGAATGCACTAGAACGCTTTCAGTCTGTGCTTATGATACTTTATGTGTTTTCTATAGCTCTGTGCTCCTCTGACCAAAAAGCAGCTTTGCCACAAATACAAGCCTCCTGCTGGTTTCAATTTCTGGAGTACCTAGTATGCTTTTAAAGGCAGTAAGACTTGCAACTTCCTTAACGTAAAACTTGTTGGAAATGTTAAGCGGCAACAGTGTTATCACCAGAATGTATCAGCAAAGCTTCAAGTCTGGCCATAAAACTTGTCATCTCTCCCTAGATTTGAATATTCTTACAAAACAGAACCTGCTATGAGATCCTCTCTCCCTTGTCCATGTGTAAGCTCCAGTAGCTCTGCCACCTGCATCATACTTTGTGGTGCTGGCAAGATCACTGCTTATCAGAATTACCAACACATTTTATAGTCCCAGTATCAAAATACCACTCATGTCAGCAGAACTGGTTTCCTGTGTTACCCTGAAACTTTATTCCAACACCTTAAATCAGGACCACTAACTTAAAAGCATAAATTGCTTCATGTGCTGATAAGTTTTGCCAGAAAGACTGTCTTGTGATTGAAGTCAGGCAGAGACTTCAGGTCTGACTCTAGTTCTGTTACAGATTCACACCACCTTGGGCAGTGTTACTTCCTTCCCAAAGCAGTCCCCAATGAACTAGTTCAAAAGAGGTAAAAATGGCTATTGAGTTGGTTTCTTCATCTGGGGCCAGGGGAAGGGAGTGGGGGTAACATAACATAGCTCATTATTCTCACATACATGACAATACAGAACTCCAAATTATCCATTCAATACAAAAGGTATTAAAGCATAACTTGTAGAACAAAAAGTTTAAATGAAGACAGTAAAGCAGAAGAGAATTCAGTCAAAATTGAAATGTTAAGCTTTAGATGGGTGTTTCATTAACCTCTTAGTATTTTTTGTGATTAAAACTGTAATGAGTTCCTATGAGAAGCTAGCTGTACCTCCTGAAAATTAGTTAAGGGTAAATATGTTCATTACATTGTATGCCACCAGAAAATACAATTGTTTTATAAAACAGATTAATTTTCTAAACCTTGATTTTGAAGAGTAAGAAGATGCAGAGTTTCAGCGACAATATTAAGTTTTTAAAAAGGTGCATCTGTGGAATGACACCTTGCCTTTAAAAAAAAATTCAACCCCAGCTTAAATCCAAAGACTGATCACAACACTAGCAAGATCCTTTACAGCAGTGGGGCTTCTGGGTGTTGCGATAATAGTCACATGTTTCTAATGAAGCATAATACCATCTTAAGAAAATTGTTTGGTAAGCATCCTAATTTCATACCTCACAGCATCCAGCCTCTTGTTCTGTCGAATGAGTTCAATGAACTCCTGAATCCTTAGGCTGAACTCCAGACAGCTCTGAGATTAAAGACAAGACAGGGTCTTAGATGGTGCCAAAACTGCACTGCACAGTATGTTAAGTACTATGTGTGCACAACAAAAAAAGAAAGTGTTAATAACATGCAACCTTGTTTGCTTGCTTTTAGGCATTCATGCAAAAAAAGTTGAAATGCTGACTTTACGGACAAGACATCAGCACAGAATTCCCTAAAAGCAAACAACAACCTCCTCCTCTTGCCTCCTTCAAAACTTCAGTATTTAGCAGGGATGAACTTTTTCCTAATGACTGAAAGCATCATTACCTGAGATGCAGGTGAGAGTAACAGGTGGTTTCTTTGTACTTTCTTACAATTTAAAGTAGTAGATTCAACAGAAGTTTGGGGCTATGTGATAATTTAGACAAGAGAGGTCTACCCAGAAGACTGCAAGGAAGAAACAAGTCTTTGAACGCTATTTTGAAAGTCCCCAATATTAACGAAAAACAGCACAGAGTTTAAGTTGCTACAATCCCCTCCCTCCCTCCCTTTCTTCAAACTTCTATCCCGCTCTTCTTGTCAAACATCTAAAAGCCATGCTGGAAACAAGTCTCAAACAAGAAAACCAAGTGGCATTTACCTGTTTTTGGAAAAAGGTAAAATTTGAAGCCTAATGAAGTTGACAATGTCCCTTTAAATCAAATTCCATCACCAGTTCACAAAATCTATAAAAAAACTTTGAATATGTGGAATTAAAAAGAAAAAGATTCTCCCCCCATAAAAGAACAAGTCACTATGCTTCTTTATAGGGACACAGTCAACTGTTTTATTACCTTAAGAAAACAACGACAACCCAAAGTCCTTTGAATCTTGAAAAGAACTGTATTCCTTGAGTTACCCTGCTCCATTTGGCAAATGGTTTTCTTCTTCCCCCATGCTTCTAATGAATAGCTGCCTTTTGTTTATTGTCCATCAGCAGAGTAATATCAAAATTCCTCAGTGACTTCAGTAGGAATTTGAGCAACTCCACATTTGTATCAGTTAGCTGCCTGGGGTGACTAATGCACACATTGCAACAATTGCTTATTTTAAGATGTGAAATGTAAGCCATTTGAACATAAAAATGATTCATTCTGTCACATGTTAAAATAGACTCGTTTAAGGAATAGAACACGAATTATTTTCCAACTATGCATTTTTCTGTACTCAAGCCCATGTTTAGCAGAGAATAAAAATTTCTTCTCTACTTTATTTGAAATTTTCAAACAGGGCTATTTTAAAATACCCTGTTATTCAAATCTACACAAAACCCTCATTTAGAATTTTAACTAAGTTCATTTCTACTAAAAAATTGATCAAGCTTTTAAATTGTTAGTGATACTAAATCCTAGGGCTTAGTATTTTGTTAAAATGTTTCAGTGGCAAAAAATGCATATCCCAAAACAACCTTCAGAGTTTGGGTTTCGTTTTTATGAATCCTCAAGTAAGCTGCAAGCCAATGGCTCTATGGGTTCTGCAGACAAGTGTAACTAGAAGAAAAGTCCTAGACAATCAGATGCATACATTTCAACTTTGTGTACCTTCAAACAGTTCCACGGCAGCTATTCACAAGAGTTTAGATAGCTCACATCTGTAAAGACTATAGGACTGTGTGCTTTCCCAGGCCAACATACAGTTTAATTTTTAGATTAGGCTTGCATTAAGGTGGTGGCTGGGATTTTAGAACATTATCACTGATAAGTAGCTAAGCAACCAGAAACAGAAGAAATGTTTATTTGTGTTTCAAAAAGAAGCATGGTGATTTCTCTTCTTCCAACTCTGATCTCTCACAGCCTAAGCTTTAGTTTTTGGTTAAAAAAAAAGTAGGGCTTGCAGAAATAGATTTTTTTTGTTGTTGTTGTTTTCCAAAAAGAGGGATGGGGAAGATTTTTCCTTATTTATTGTTTGTTGAAGATTGGTGATGAAAGAGTAAGATATTCAGATTTTATTTCTTATATTACTTAACATATTAAGATTACATAAGGGGGATTTTTTAGCAGTATAATTATGCAATAGTGTTTACATACCAATTCTGGTTTTCCTTTAATGGTTTCCATAACAAGATCATCATTTTCTTTAGAGTAATCACTGGCCGATTTACTTTTGCGTCCCATCTTCGGTTCATTCTCATTTTGGCGCCCCTGAGTGACAGAGAACGTCACTCTTTGCTTATCATTAAGTGCACTCAAACATTTTTGGTTAAAGAAAGCGCTTAGTTTAAAAAATAAGACACAAACATCTTTGAGGGAGGCAGGGATTTTGGTTAATATCAGTTAAAAACAGATTTCTGCAAGCCCTATAAAAGATTACAGCATGTTTTGAAATGCAGAATTTAAGAGACAAGGAAATTTAAACCAACTCCATAGGAACAAGTATGCAGCATGTTCAGGTCATAGTATTCAATGGCTAGAAAAAGACTTACTGTGTTTATTACTCGATTAGACTCAGCTTTTGTTTTTGAAAAACCATTTCAACAGTAGTTTCTCACAGAAAGTTAGTTCTTTACTCAAGTTTTGTTTTCTTACAAACAACACTTAAAAAATACTAAGACAAAAATCTGTATGAAATTTCTCTCAGTGTTAAGCCTGAGGACATAGGTTTACCAATTAGTCTCACTCTTAAGATACCTTCATATATAAACTGAGTTATATTCTCAGCAGGATGCAGAGAGTTATAAATGTAAGTTCACATGCATCAAGGCACTACATACTTCTGCATTTAGACATTTTAAATCACACTAAAACCAACTGAGTATTATTATTTTATTTGAGCATAATTTGTTGAGACAACACTTGCATCCATAAGATGACCTATCACTCAGTTTCAGGTTTGGCATTTGCACAAGCTAGTTTAGCTCCAACTACCTACACCTTCTTAAAAGAAGAGTTTTGTACTTACTGTCCTTACTTTTATACAAGGCCTCATTCAAGACCTGTAATTTAAACCAAATTGACCACATCAAATATCCAAGTAGTTTAGAAAACAAATTTAAGCAAAACATGAACACGTTACATTTTCATACCTTCATTTTTCTGAGCCTGGATTTGTTATCATGACACCAAGCCAAGCAAGTCATAGTCTCTTGTCTTTCCAATGACTCTTCCACTTCTTTAGCAGTCAAAAACATCTCAATATTTACCAAGTCCTTCAAAAACAAAAAGAAAACCAGGTCTTGTTAAATTGTACTGATACTTTACACAGCAATCCACTCTTCAACAGAACTGGAATACAGAGATACAAAAGAACCTTGTTCTAGAGACCTCTGGTTTTTAGGATAGTACTTTACAAAAAGACATTACAGTACATTTTAAAGACTGCATTTCCCATACACTGAGATATTCTGATAGTGTGATAGTGTCAATATTTTTCTGAGTCTACTTATACAACAGAACTAGAAAAAAAAGAAGAGTAAAGATTAAACCTAGGAGCTTTGCACAGAAAGTGACCAGATCCCATGATCACTTCGGTGCAGTTCACACTTACAGGAGTACTTGGTTTCCTCAAAACTTGGCCTATGTCAATTGGACCATGGCAGTGTCATAACATTTGCTAAAGTGAGCAAGAACTACATGAGAGGAGAATCTAAATCTACTTTACCTAGCCATCTATAACTACTGAGTTTAGGCAAAGTCCTACAATGGTCTGAAGTCTCCAATATATTTTCTCTCACTTGCTTAATGTTGTAAGCTCTAGACCTTCAATTGCTTACAACAGTTCTGTCTACAACATCCGCCACTGAGGTGATAAAACAAAGTTACTATGTCAAAAAACAGTTAGGCAACGGGTGGGCCAAAAGATTCCTCAAGTGCTTATCACAAGCAGATATTTTTGAAGAAAAAGCAGCAATCTAGTACCAAATTTGCCCAGAGCAAACCTGTAATAGGCCTATGCTACTTTTTAATTACCAGCAGTTTTACACATTCATACCAATCAAAGCAAATGCAACTGAATACAATTTAAGATCTAGTAGGGTAAAAAATTTTTTTCCCCCATACATTTCTGATGAAAAAGAGACTTAGGTAGATGTTCCTAAACAACATGAACTGGATCCATTCTGAATTGACACCGCCAGAAGTTATTTTAGAGCTGCATAAATATGTCATGCTGGGACAGTTCCTACTTTGCTGAAGAAAAAACACTGTGGGAAACCGTAACTCAATACACAAACAGAAATCCCGTACTGAAGTATTTGATTAATATGCACTTTAATTTTGAACAAGTTCATTTTTACGTAACTTCACAGCAAAATGCTGAAAATTATACAACTGAAATGCTGAATATCACAAATATTACAGTAGCTCTAGTGAACAAAACCACTCTGAGAAATAGATAGCATTTTCATCTGTTAGAACAGCTGAATATACTTAGTCTTAGAATTTATACCTCCTTGAGACAAAGATGAAAAATATAAGTAGCATCAGGCATATCACATCCACATCTTGCATCTCATTAGCCAATTTTTCCTTATAAACACAAGAAGTCTAATAGTATTGGAAAAATGGACCAGCTCATGCTACGTTTGTCAGAAGGGTTCTTTACAAAAATGTAAACAGGCCACCTGTATTTCTAAAGTGCAGCACAAGTTGCAGCTTTTACTAAAGCTTTCTCTTATGACTTGAATGTGAGTTTAAAAACAAAATATTAAGGATAGCTGACATGCAACTACCTTTTATAGATTGTATGATCATAGCAACAAAACCATCAAAAGAATAAAGGGCCTCATGCAGCTCTAGTAGTATCAAGACCAGGTAAGTCAGACTGAGTCTGAGCTAAAGCAGTTACAAGTTTATAAAACAAAATTAATAATGAACTTTCACTGACTCTTCCCATCCCCTTAAGGATAAAAAAAATTTAATCTATTTTATCAATGTGTTGGCAAATGGACTGAAAGAATGCCAACCTATTCCACAACAGGATTTTTTTTTTTTTTTAAAGGTTTCCTACAAGAACATGACAGTAATCTTCCTTTTTGGTAGTCTGAAGTTTTTCTGATTGTATTCTCAAGTGGGAAAAAAGAACTGCATTATTCCCCTGTGAGTGATGAAGTGATGACATAAAAACCTCTTGCCCATGTAACTCATCTGTATAAGTAATTTGACATATAATGCAACTATATTCATTATCTTGCTTGCGTATTTTTCCACACAGCTGCTGAATGGAAAGACAATTCAATTTGGGTTAAAAAAATAACAACATCTCCATACATATCCTCAAGCTTATTTGAGTTATGTGTCCTCTTAATGAAGAGCATTTGCTTTTACGCCAAATTAAAACAAAAGCATTTTCTTATACATTAAAAAAAGGACTGGATATGCTAGGCAGACAACAAATCACTGGTTTCATCTCATTTGTTAGCTTTTTATAGTTTAAGCTTCATCATGAAAAAAATTATTTTTTAAAGAAGCATAAGGGCAGCATGTGTTTTAAGTCAATGAGCTGGTGAGAAAATCCCGACTATATGCATTTATCAATCCAGGTGTTAGTACAGTAACCCTCAATTATGAGCAAAAAGATTGTAGTTGCTGCTGAGGCAGACAAAACTTGTAAATAAAGAGAGAATTCCTACATTCCTTTTGCAAATTTAAAATAAAAAAAGGTTCTATTTGGTACAGAAATGCTAATTAGATTCATGGTTGCCAAAAGAAGTCAAAGCTTGGCAGCCGTCTATTAAATAGATGGTATGTATCCAGAAAACAGAGGAGAACATTTTTAATTAAGAGTTTCTTTCAGAACTAACAATCACATTTAAATTGCACCAATAAATAGGATTTTCTTCTCTGCTGAGTAGATAGAAAATTAGGGAATGATATGAAAAAAGCATTAAGAAATCCATTTGTAGGGAAAGAAATAGCTTTTGCATTTGATAAAAAGTAGTTAGAAGTCTTAATCATGCAGATTGATAGAAGAAAAATACTAAGATATGATTTGGCAATAAACCTTTAAAAAACCCACACATGCTCATGTCACCCAAGTTTTTTTTTAACCTGATCATGCTTTCCTATCTTCCTTTTTTGGTGGTGCCTACTCTTGATGCTTCTCCATGGTGTATTTCATTAGCCAGCACAAAGGAAATAGAAGAATGGAATATCAGAGGATTATCTGGCTTATTAAAAACCAGCACAGCTCTTCTACACAGGCCAGTACTGGAGTACTGCTTGTCTGCCACATCTTGTATGAATGGAAACCAGTTAACAGTGTTAGCAGTTGTAAGAAGTATCTCTTGTTCCAGTCTGAAAAAATCCCCATTAAGACCCCAATTCTGAATAGTTTTCTGAAGGTATTCTGCAATTCAGAGTTGCATAGGCCGTACACTATACAGAAACATTGTTCTTCTCGGTTCCCAAAACAGCATTAAGATTTCATATGCTGTTACGAAGAGCCTCTCTTATATAATTTGTTTACATATAAAATTGAATGAATGTAAATATGCAATTTTAGAGAAATATTGCCACCGGTTTTGCAGGTGGAGAAAAAGCTGAAGCAAGAAATCTGTTGCCGCACACTCCCCCTCCCATTGACACAGCATTCAGCATCATGGCAAACATTTTCCGACTTGTATATAAATTAAAAAGCAATTCTCAAGCCTTTAATTACTATCTTTTGCAACACTATAAAGTCTTCCTTCATTTCACAATTTTAGTTTTCACATGGTAAAAGTGATTGCAATACTTTACTTCCAGTACTGCAGAAGTATAGGAGAACCCTGCACTGCACACAGATTATTTCAGTATTGTTATCAAACCATAACTCTTAGCACAGACTTGCCAGCCTCCTATGCATCGCCACGGTAATTTTGCGTAAATTACCTTGCCTTAACTTGCTTACAAATGCAGAATACCTGACACTGGGTAGGAAGACTCATTAACATCAACCTTCCATTTAGTTAGGCTTCTACAATTGTACTGAAAAATAGTTTCAAATAGCTCAAGGAGGAGAAAACTCTGTCCGTAAGCATTGCTGACAATTACCCAAACACTAAAGAGGGGGGAACACAGCACCAGCATTCTTCTTCCTTCTAGCACAAGCAAGGAAGCACCACCTAGATTTTATCATTTCTGCTTAAAACACTATTGGACTAAAGCAGACTAACCTTGCCTTCTATTCAACAGTCACTAACCAGGTATCAGAAGGTAACTATTTAAGCACTGGATGAACTTTATCATAAAAGGACTATTTAATTCCATTACAATGGTTCAAACTTCAGAGAAAAACATTTATTATTAGAGAAAATGGCACATGAAGGCTGAAGACACTTAAGTGAAAGCAGAGAGACTTATTTAAACAAAGAATACATCTATCCATCACCCTGTGCTCTGCCTGATTTACATATATATAGCTTTTAAAATATCTCTGCTTCTTTTTAAGCTGCAAGTGCCTCCAGGGAGGGAGGTTACCAACCCTATGATTCTGCACAGAACTCCAATTATTAAGGTATAAAATACTATGAAGAATGAGGATTCCCTTATGATTATTATTACTACATACATACTCCTGGCCAACATAAGAGCTATATCCCTGTATGGCATTTCCATTTTCTGAGATGGTTTCTTAGTAAGACCATCCCAAACACGTATATGCACATCTCCTCCTTCGAACAGCTTTTGGACTCTCTGGTCAGTTTAAGCAGGACTTGACAAGGGCCGAATTCTCAGGGGATCTCACTCTTTGCCAGGTTTCTCTCCTTAGCAGTGTCCTGTTTTCAGGAGACTCCAGCACCTGCCCTTACTGGAGGGAGAGGTTGCAGCAAACGCTTACTAGTTAGATACCAAAGAGTCAACGCTGGAAAGATCTGCTGCAGGTTTTCTCCACAGAGGGTGCAATTCAGAATAAAGCTTACATCAGCTGTAGGACAAACCTGCAGCAAGCCAGGCTCCACCAGTTCTAGAAGTCATGGAATAACTGCTTTGTAATGAAAAATAATCACTACTTTAAACACTAGTTTCAGACATCAAAACTAAGAGAAAAATGAAAATGGGCCCAGAATTTAATGAATTTACATAGTTGTGCTACAGAAAGGAAGAAGTAGTGATTCACAAAAACACAGTGAAGGTTATTTTAAGAGTAATACCTGTGAAACAATGAGAAGATGGATAAAGGTAGTAGGGTAATTTGTTTCTAACTAGTGGATATTTTAGCTTCACATGA